CAGAGCAAGCCCAAGGCACCTCGGGCACTGGGAAAGGATTTTTCTCTCTTTTCCTCCTTCCATGATTTCCCTGCTAAGTTTTCCATCCCCTTGGAGGGCTGGGTTTGCTCCTCAGCCTCACTGGGATGGCACAGAAATCTTGGCTCAAATTAATGATGCAACCAAGCCACCCTAAAATCCCTTAAAAATAAATTTAGCACTCCTGGCCTCTGTTGTTTTTTTTTTTTTTTTTAAGGGGGAAATTCTCCATTCAGAACAGAAGAGTTGGGGAAGAGTTTTGGAAGATGACAATCAAAATTATCAAGTTTTGTGGGCAGGGACACCTTCCACTATCCCAGCCTGGCCTTGGGCACTGCCAGGGATCCAGGGGCTGCTCTGGGAATTCCATCCCAGCCCCTCCCAAGGAACAATTCCTAATTCCCAATTTCCAAAGAAAATTCCCATTCCCTTCCTCTGGCTGTAGCATCCTTCAAATGCCACATCCTTTATCAATCCAAACCCCAAATAAAGATTTTATTTTAAACTCTATCAATAGACCCTTTTTTTTTTTCCCAGTTGATTGCTGATGGATTTATCCTCTTTTTTTTTATCCCATCTGGCAAAATGTGCTTATTGTGACTCCAGGATCTGATCCCACGTCCCCTGCAGCATTCCAAAGGCTTGGATCAGAACCTGGACGCCTCCTTAATTCTGGTTTTATGACCCTGCTGAAGGGCAGCATCCTCTGTTTTGCACATACTTTTATAATTTTGAATGCATTTCAGGCAAAAAAATAAAATCCATTTCAACCAAGTGCTCAAATAACGCAGCCTGCACAGAAGGAGCAAAATTCTGGCTTGGGAAGTCCAATAAAAATAATTGGATTTGGAATCCTGGCCAGTAATTTTTGGAGTTTGAGTATTTTGGAGATTTTTTTTTTTCCCTGGGAATGATATCCAGAGGGAAGAGTCCTGACAGCAGAAATTGTGCTTGGTAAAATCTCTCATGTTCTACAAAATTACACCTGCTTTGGCTCCAAAACTTACTCCAGTTCCTCTGATCCTAAGGAAATGTACTTTATATATATATATATATATATATTTAATTTTCCATGCTCTCCAAGGTGCAGTTTTTAAAACTCTCCTGGAGCTCCAACTCTCAGGTTTAGATTGAGATCTCCTGCAGCAAGCCAAGACACTTCTCCATTAGCTACTCTTAGGATAACCCATTAATAATCATTTTCATCTGCAAAACATGTTTATTTCTCGGGATTTTTTGGAATCTTACATCCTCCTTAAAGATAGGAACTGGGATTAATGATTCCATGAGGAAAATATGTCGTGTTCCCCAAGCCACAGAGCTTTCCCACTCCAAAATAAGTATTTATTTTTCATTTTAGCCAATGAACTTCTACAGTGTCAGGTTTTTTTGCATCAGATCCATTTCATCAGAGTGACCTAAACCGGTTCTTTAGCCACTAAAAAAAAAAAAACCAAAAAAAACAGGGATACGTTGCAGCAGGAGCAGTTGGAAGCTTGGAATGTTCACGAAGGGAGGGCAAAAAAAAAAAAAAAAAAAAAATCAAGATTAATTTTGTTTTAAGCAGGTAATGAGGCCAAAGGGGGGGAGCCTGAGATGGGTTGGAGTTTTTAAAAGGACATTTTTCTTGCCCAAATGAGTCGCTGGGACTCCTGAGCCAGACGGGCAGGTTTGCCCAGCAGCATTCTCCAACTGGGCTGAGGGATCGGAGCCTTGGATCTCTGCCAAATCCAATGGAAATCGCTTTGGGTGAAGGAAAAAAAAAATTAAAATAAAAAAAAAAGCCAAATTGCTTTTCTGCCACATCTCCAAGTTTTGGGTGACCTGTGATAGTCTCACTCCTATTCTGGGCGTGAAGAAAATCAAATTTGTTTTTGGGGTTTTTAACTCGGGGCAAACTCTGGGTGTTGGGCACGGAACGAGGCCGAAACTTTGGGTGATATTTGGTGCCAAATATTGATATGGAGAAATCAACCCCCAGATCAGGGGGATTCGCTGTGACCCTCCCAAAACCAGGAGGAAAACGTGGAAAATAAAATAGGTGATACAGACTTGCTGGATTTCAGGGAAGAAACGGAAATTATTTATGAAGAGTGTGTCGAGAATGGGAATTTCCTCCTCGGAAGGGACAGAGCTGTGGCTGCTGAGGGGATTTTAACGGGGGTTTTAAACCTGTTATGATGATCACCACTCAAAACCATTCCTGATTCTCCATCGGGGATTAAAAACAAGGATTTGATGCACACGAGGAGCCTGAACCTACACGAACTCCCGAGTCCCAGCTCGCACAACGCCCCTGGCACCGCATTATCACCGGTGGCACTGAGCTGATCCCAGCTCAAATATTCCAGGGCAAACAAAGTCGGGGTTCATTCTCCTGCAGCGAGCTATCAAAGGCAGCAGTGCCCTTTGAAGCAGCCACCTTCTGCTGCAGGCTTTGTGCAAATGCCACAGAACAGCAGCTCCCAAATCCCGCACAAAGGCAAACAATCCCCGCCTTTGGAAAACAATCCCCTGGCGGAGGAGTAAACAAAAGCATCCATTAGTCACCGGGCCCCGAAGATGGGCAGGTGAGGATGTTGAACCTCGGGAGCCTGACTAAGAGCACGCAGCGTTCCCAAATCCCTTCCACCGAAAGGATCCTCAGCACCTGGCCGTGGGTGTCACACCTGGAATGGCCAGGTCGGTGCGTGAGCGGCTCGAGGAGCAAGGTGAGGGTTCCTCATTCCAAATAAACGGGGCCTGTTTTGTCCCAGCTGCTGGATTTTGACCTTGAGGCTCCCCCAGTTGCCTGTTATGATTTCCAGCCTCATTACCATGGCCAGGAACTGAACGACAGGTTTGTTTTTATGAGCTTCTCCAGCACTCTGCCAGCTATTCATTTGAATCTTCTAAACAGTCAGCTCTGAATCATAATGCAAATTCCATTTACTGAAAAGGTGGTACCTTTAATATTCCAAATGACCACGTTTAATGACTGATACTTTTAGACATTACAGCATCTCTCATGTTTTCAGTAAATGGATATAATTTGCCCTGCATTACCCTATTATTATTCCTCGCTGGCATTACAAGGCGACGTTCTCAGCTGCGGGTGTTTTCCATTTGAAGGCGGCCCAAACAACACAATTTGAGAGGCAGCTGCCTCTGTACCCTCAGCTAAAAACGCTGCAGGACCCAGAGGAAAACTGCACGGGGATTTTATTCCTAAAATGTATTTAGCGCTGGCTTTTTTTTTTTTTTTTTTTTGCAGCGTTGTGGCCGTGTTTGTGTTGGAAGGGTGGCCACGGGTGCTTTTTCACTTCAAAGGCGAGGAAAGGCTGTTGTGTATAATCAGGAGAGAACTTCCTCCTCTCCAGCCTGACACATGGCCCGTGTGGAATAAAAGCCACAAGTGGGTCAGCTCTGGGAACTCTCCTGAAAATCAGGAATCCGTGTGTGGAACCAGGACACGGCTCTGGGAACAGAGGGAGGGGAAGGTGGCGAGGAAGGGGCAGCAATCCCTGATTTTTCAGGGATAAACCAGAGCACAAATTGCTCCGAAATGAGAATTCCTGAAGCTCAGCAAATGCTGCCCTGGCACTAAATTATCCCAGAATAATATATATATTATATAATATAATTATATATATATTATATAATCTAGAATAATGTATATATTACAGAACACTGTAATGCCCCATTCCAATTTTAAAGATAAATTAAACAGAAGGAAAATACATAATAAAATACCAGCAGGATCCACACTGGAAATCTGATGGATTTTCATCCCTGGCCTTAAAAGAGAGAGGCTGCTCCTTCTCCTGAGCTTTTACTTTCACTGGCTTCTCTTTGGGGGTTTGACTGAACCTCCCTGAAGCCCCTTCACCATCCTATTACTTTATTTTAAGTGCTTCTCTTGGAATTGGTGGGATTTAGGATTAAGGAGTGAAGTTTTGAAGGGTATTCTGTTGATTTTTTTGGGATGAGTTTTTGTGCACCTGCCCACTCACAGGCATCAGGTGCTACTTGCAGCTTCCTAAGATTTTTATAGAGTCCCACTCTAAGTCAGCTTCAACTCTTATTTGTTATTTATGCTCCAAAAGCCTTTTTATTTCCACCAGCAACTACTGGTCACGGCAGAGATAAATCAGATTTTAAATCCCTCTGTCCTCTCCATATTGCAGGAGACATGAATTGCCGTGGCTGTTGAATTTTGAGAGGAAAAAAGGTCAGAGAAAGAGCCTTCAGCAGGTGAAATTTTTAAATCTATGTGGGAATTATTTGTATTTTTAACCTGACTCTCTCTGTTGCAAAAACGTTTTTTTCAGAGAGTGCTGGGGAGCTCCACGATGGCCACAAGCTGAAAATCCTCATTTGAAATTGAAAATCTGCCACTTAAAACCTAAATCTGCCACTTAAAACCTAAATCTGCCACTTAAACCTATTACCATGGGTAATATTGTGCTGCCTAAATTACCAGGGGTGGCTGCCAGAAGTGTCACTCTCTGGGTGGGTTTTCTTTTTTTCTTTTTTTTTTTTTTTCCCCAACAGGATTTCACCTCTTACAAACCAAAGCAATGCAGAAAACTGGGAGAAAACACAGAAACCCATCTTGGGACTTTGGAACTGTTCTACATTTTCTTCTACATTTTCCAGCATTCCCTGATGGATAAAAACTCCCATTTCCATGTCCAGGGGACAGGAGATGGAGCTGGAACCTCCCTTGTACCTCTGCCACTGCTGCCCACACAGAAAACTGGGAGAAAACACAGAAACTAATACTGGGCCTTTGGAACTGTTCTACAATTTCTTCTACATTTTCCAGCATTCCCTGGATAAAAACTCTCATTTCCATGTCCAGGGGCAGATGATGGAGCTGGAACCCCCCTGGTACCTCTGCTGCTCCTGCCCACGCAGAAAATTGGGAGAAAACACAGAAACCCACAATTCCCTTTGCAATGGAACTGTTCTACATTT